CACTCTGCACCCCTTCTCACGATGCAGGGATTCTGTCTGCCTCACAGGGGCATGCCCCGTCCTACAAAAGACTCCGAACGCAGAGCCTTTTCCTGGGACGGGGGCGTGTCATGGTCTGGTCCTGTGCTGTGTGTGCGGCTGTGCATGATGGTCTGAGATGCCAGGGGAGGGGTGTGGAGGCAGCTCGGGGGTGGGGCCCAGACATTGAGTCAAGGGAGCACCACCCAGCCACGCCAGCCTGGCCCCAGTTTTCTGAGCCAACTCTTGGAGCCCAGTGTCCTCGTGCAGTCCAGGGACAATGGTCTGAGCTTCCCTGCTGTGTGGACACCCCTCCATGCTGTGCTGCGTTCAGGCTGTCTACAGATGGGGGCCGCAGAGCTATGAAGCTTTGAGGGCTCAGGGCCGCTGGGCCAGACCCTCTACCAGGCCCCATAGAATCAGCAGAGCCCTTTGGTGGCCAGAGGAGCCCGCAGCCCTGGAGCAGCTCCTGGGTGCCACACAACCCCTCCTGTGGTGTGGGGAGCGACTTGTGAGGCTGGCCCACTAGCAACGAGGGGCCAGGGGGACTGATGCCTCGGGGTGAAGGAGGGTGCAGATGTGGGCAGGGGTGAGGGGCCCAGCCAACCTCCTCCTCCTGCGGCCCTACAGGAGTGCACCTGCCCATCCTGGACCAGTTGAAGCTGAACGGCAGCCACCTGGGCTCCCTCAGGTGAGCGCCTGGGTGGGGTGGGCTGGGGTCCTGCCATGAGGGGGTCCCATGGGGCAGGCCCTGCAGGGATGGCGGGAGAACTTGGTGGGAGTAGGGGGACTTGGGCTGGGACAAGGGACCCAGGGGTCTAGAGAACTCCATTCTGCTGGCTGCCTGACTGTGAGTGACCCTGTGGAGGGTGGATGGGCAGTTGGGGGGAGCCTGGGACATTCAGGCAGGTGTGAAGGGGTCTCTGAGAGGGTCTTTGTTGAAAGGACGAGGTCCTGGGCCAGCCTGACTTCCAGGGGTCCTGCCTATGCCCTGCAGCCTCTTGCTCAGCCCGGATGCACCCCCCTTGCCCCGTGACCCCTGCACATGGATCTCTTGTGTCTATAATGGGTGGGAGCCCCCTGCAGCAGGTATCACCTCACTCAGAGCTGGGGCCAGGGTCAGGGCAGTCATGCCAGGTCGTGTGGTAAACTCCCCGAAAGTGCCCCTGGCCTGGGCCCAGAGCCCCCACTGTGAGGTGTCCCTGGTGAACACCCAAAGCCAACCAAGGACTGGGGGCCAGGTCCCCGCACCGCTCATTGCAGCCCAGGACTTTGGCTGCACCATGTGGCCACCAGCTTGGGGTCTGGGCAAGAACAGCAACCACCAGCCAGAACCTACACATAGAACCCAGACCAGATGGCAGCCGCCGGGAGAAGCTCCAGCCAGAACCTGTGCACAGAACCCGGATCGGCCCCCAAGAGAAGCACCGGAAGCTCCGTGCCCCGCAGCAACTCACAGCATTCGGAGCTGAAGACCTCGGCAGCTCTCACGTCATCAGAAGGGAAAGAATGAGGCTAAAGGAACATCCAACTTTATTCTGGGGGTTTGGGCAAAGTGGGTTTTGTGAAAATGCTGCTGGTTTTATGTAACCTGTTCCCAGCAGCATAAGGCAGGGGAATTCCAGGGAGAATTCTAGAACATTCTCCAGCTGTGTGAACTGGGCTCCAAGGGCCACATCTCGTTATTTCCAGATGAGAAACAAATATCAAAATGGGCTGGGCGCGGTGTCTCACGCCTGTAATCCAGAAATTTGGGAGGCTGAGGTGGGCAGATCACCTGAGGTCAGTAGTTCGAGACCAGCCTGGCCAACATAGAGAAATCCCATCTCTACTAAAATACAAAATTAGCTGTGCATGGTGGTGCATGCCTGTAATCCCAGCTACTCGGGAGGCTGAGGCAGGAGAATTGCTTGAACCCGAGAGGCAGATGCTGCAGTGAGCCAAGATCGTGCCACTGCACTCCTGCCTGGGCAACAGAGTGAAACTCTGCCTCAAAAAAATAAAGTAGGCTGGGCACAGTGGCTCACGCCTGTAATCCCAGCACTTTGGGAGGCCGAGGTGGATGGATTACAAGGTTAG